ACGTGGTATTCATCCTAGGTGAAATTACAACTATTAATCACAAGAAGCAATACTCAATTCCCCGATGGTATTCTGACCGAATTGCATCTGATTACTTATCTAAACATCATAATGGTAGCTAAGCATTAAGATATAGAGATAGTTTAAAGCACAGTGATTAATAATTTAAAGCATGCATGCATAATATCATAAACAATTAAATAAAACTACATATTCATGCTAAGGCTCAAGGCATTGCCCTAGCAAACGTAAATTAGTTACGAACAACCATAAAACAAAAGGAATTTATTTAAATAGAAAAAGGATAGAAAACACCTTGAAAAAAAAACTTGAATTGTCAAAAGCAATTCTCCAACTGGTGCGTGCGTTCTCCTCCTCTCAACCTAATGGCTAAAAAGCCTTATTTATTCTACTACAAAATAAAACCCTAAAAGGTCTTAGAATAAACTAGGAAACATAATAAAATAATAAAACAGAAAATAAAAGGTTTCCTATTTGAACTAAAATTCGGACTTCTCAGAAAATCACATTTTTGACCGACCAAATCAACTCCGATTTGGTCCCAAGAGGTCTCTTTTTAAATCTGAAGATGTCCCTACAAATCCTCAGATGAAATCTTCCTCAAAATATACCATCTTGACCTTCAAAATACCCAGAACGTCCAGAAACGTCAATATGGGAAAGCTGCGCACTGGGCCTTAATTTCATCGCCACGGTCAAACGGCTTCGTAGAAAAATCTTGAATTTTGGTACAATCATCTTGAAAGACTCACGAACATCCTCCAATTGGATCACTCCAAAATTCATCCGTTTGATCACTTTTTGCTCCAGAGGAAGTCGAATGTCCTACATTGGAAATATATAACAAAGTTTCAAAAGTTCTACCAAAATAACTAATAAATTAATACTAAAATTTGGGTAAAATATATGGTATAATATGGACTCATCAAAGACTCCCGTTTATGATGTTTGTATCTCGAAGATAAGTTATCATAGTCAGTTTTCAACTTAGTGTACAAACAACCATAGCATTTTCACCCACCAACTGGTCTGCTCTTGGAGATTGATATAAATAACCTTGTTTTCCATAATTGCAAGGCTTAACCTGCTAGGGTCCATATACTTGATGCTATAGTTGGTAGAGAGTATTATCATGCTAATAAAACTATATCAGTTCATACTCATAATTGTATCATCTCAAACTATCAAGTGGAGATCACCTCATGTTCCTAAACTCAAAATTAATTTTGATGGCTCTGTGGTGGACTTTCAGACTGCTGTTGAATTATATATGAGATTCGAATGGTTCACCTATTGTGGTTGGGACCCACAATACTAGAGAATGTGCAATTTATGTTGCTAAAGCTCTTGCTCTTCGTGATGTTTTGAGATTTGCAAAGGTCGAGAGTTTTAAGAGGTGTGTGTTGAAGGAGATTCTAAGCTTATCATTAATTTCATTTTCAAATAAGTGTAGAATACCCTGGCGATTGAGGACAATCGTTGATGACATCAGATCTCTGAGCAATTCCTTTTCTTTTATTTCTTGGTCTAATGCCTTTTGATTAGGCGAATTTTCTTACCAATGTCATTACTAATGTCGGTCACTCGATCCAAGACACTTATACTTTGGGATAGGTCCTTACCAACTATTGCTAGAAGTGTTTTCTTGTTTAATTGTACTAGAAAATTGTGGTACTAGAGATTTCTCTCTTTAATCAAAGTTATTTTTTCATAAAAAGATAAAATAAAATAAAAAATCCTGGTCTACTCTCGGTATCTTTTACCCTTTACGGTAGATGATAGCCAATGTGAGCAGCCTAGCATATATTTAACGGATATATCTTTTCTTTTGGATCTAATAATTGATTGAAATGTGTTTAGAATAATGTTTTGGCCTCATCGATTGTGTTCAGTCCCACCAAGTGCGCGTAGAGATTTATATATTAGCTAAGCCTAATAAAACAGAGAAATTCCTGTAAGCCGATCAAAACGACGCGTACAGCACAGAAGCAGCAGCTTAGGATTCCATGGTAAGAGCCTTGAATACGCATCTACCAGCTACCAGAGACTCAGAGATACATTCTCTCTCTCTCTCTCTCTCTCTCTCTCTCTCTCTCTCTCTCTCTCTCGCATACTATATAAAATTTTAAAAACATATATATATATATATATAAAGTGCATGTGGATTAGGAGGTTACCAAATACCAATCCGTTGTGGTTGTGATGTTGAATCTTTGCACGTGAAGTGTCCCCTTCCAACTTCCAACCTTGCTTGGTTTTCCCCGTCAATCATTAGCTTGGCTTATATACGAAAGTAAGTGATTAATTTAATATGATAAACACATTAACATGCAAATAATCTTTGCACGTGTAGAGCTACCTTCCAAATAATAATATATTAATGAGATTGTATGTCTACAGTTATTTAGTCTAACGAGTTTCAGTCTTTAGATTTAGAATATTTCATGCTCAGATCTCATGAACCATGGTTTTAGACAAAATAACAACAACAATAACCATAATGAGATTGTATGTATGCATTTAAGTCTAGTGTAGTGTATTGTTCTCAAGGAAAAAGTTATATGGTTCTATTGAAGTTCAGCTCAAAGTATGAGTCTGGCTTCAATATTGCTATGTAGCATTTAGTGCTACAAGTGGTTTAAGCGTTAGATTTGGTTTCCACAACTATTAGATCTTTTATTTCAATCTTAGTCTTTCATTTTCTGGATCACTTTGCTATGTATTATTGAAGAAATTTTTAAAAATACATGTAATGTCTACAACTAGTGTAGAGACTCCGAGACCTAGGTAAGAGACTTAATCATGATTTTATCGTATGCAAAGTTTTAACAAGACGTAATTAAACTACACAATAACATTCCGAATCTTACCTCGTTAACCACCACTTTATTCCTGATGTCAAGAATAATATATATATATATATATATATATATATATAATTTATTATTATTATAAAGAAAATAAAAAGTTCAAAACTACTACAATAATTTAAGAGATAAAAGAATTTCAAACACCAAACACATGGGTAGAAATCAAATACCATATTCAACCACTTGCATCTTCATTATAAGAAGAAAGCTCTATAGAAAGGTTCTATAGCTCTAAAGCATTCTATAGCAAGGTTCTTTCTTCTATCTAATTCTTTTTAGTTTTTTTAATTCTGGGTTAAAGGCTTCAAGTTGGTGAGTCTGTTTGATTGTGGTCAAGGGCAGGCTGTAATGCTTCTATGAGTCTTCCCGGCCTCCGAAATAGGTGAACAACCGTAACTTGCCACCAGTTGTCCCCCTTTTGAAAAAAATAAAAAAAAAAAATTAATCAACTTTGTTAAGGAAAACTAAGTCAATCACCAAAGGGCAGGGGGAGTATGGCTCGTTTGGATGTGCTTTTAAAATGACTGAAAGCGCTTTTAGAGAAAATGTGTTTTGGTTCCAAAAGCACTTAAAGTGCTTTCTGCAAGAAGCACCAATTATGTGCTTCTTCCAGAAGCACTTTATGTGCTTTTTTAGAATTTACTTGCATTTTTACTAATGATTGGTTCCAAAAACATTTTTACCAAACATGCTTTCAGTCATTTTAAAAACATATACAAACGAGCTCTGTTTAAAAACATCACCAAAAATCGTAAGTTAATTAAAACTATAGGTGATATGTATATATGCATGCATGAGTGACGTATCCATGCGCTAATTGCTTGCTTGTTCAATGGAGTTGTTATTTTGTAACATAAAAAGGGAGCTGTTATTTTGTTCACTACGATTAAGTCAAAACCGTCGAACCAGAAAATCGAGGTAAAAAATTAAAAAAAAAAATTGTAAAAACCACGTTGACCAAAAAAGTCAAAACTGAGACAAAAACCGAACCAAACCGTCTCAAACAATTCCGGTTCCGATTTGAAAATACCAAGAACCAGAGGAACCGGAATTGGTTCAGTTAAAGCATTGATTTGCAAGCCAAAGGATTCCTCTTTGGTTTGGAGCTATAAGCTGACCTCACAATCTAGTGGTAACCCGAGAGGTCACTCAAGTCAGGAAATACAGCCCGGTCAAGTGAGGCCAGAAAAACAAGCAAAAGAACGAGTAGGACTAGGAGAGGAATGCCTCCACTTAGGCCTTTAGGTTAGCGCTCGGGGCTCTGTCCTCTAGACAGAAAGAGTAGACGGTTACCTAGAATTCATGAGCTAATATTCTATGTTCATTCACATGTTCATTGTATGTAAATTCCCGCTTGTTGACATGGTTCTAGTCTTGGTAAGGGTGCTTTTGGTGTTGATATTGAGAGCTAGTTCGGAGTTGGTCACTCTTGTGAAAGGTTCGATGACAATCAACGTTCTTTGCTTCTATTGTTTCAACGCTCGAGGCTCTGTCTAAAGAAAACCAACGGTTTTGTTGATCGACTTCACCCACACACTTGAAAAGGAGTTTGTTTGGGTTTTGAAAGCCAGTACCATTTTGCGGCCGTACTTGTAGTTGATTTGGGAAACAGTCACCACTCTAAGAGATGTCGAAAGGGCCGTAAATTTCATCGTTAAACTGAAAGGTAGCCAACTGTAAATTCGCCAAAAATGGTACTTAGAATCGGATCACAAGTATTTACAAGAGAATAAAAATCCCTCAAATTTCACAATAATAACTCATAACTATTACTAGAGTGCAAATGTACGAAAGACCATCCCGCTATTTCACGACGACAACGATATCTTCGAAAATAACTAGTCATTTTCCAATCATTGTCAAACAAGGCACCAACTCTGAAAGTGACCTGAACTACTTTTATATTGACGTCTACGAGAAATGATCGTACAACCCATCTTAATCAGCAATGTCACTCTAAAACATGGATGCCACAGAAAAGTTTGAAAATTTCGCAAACAGTAAAGGTGATGAGTAATGTACTAGAGATGATAACCAAGAAATCTAGATCGTTGATGAAAAGATGAAGCAACGTATGAGCCATGTTAAGTATGGGCCAAGAGAAAGGGATAATCTAGTGAAAGACCACACAATTAAATAAGGATCACCCAAGTGAAATCACAAATGACTCTGACAGGGTACAGGTACAGAACTCTATGCTCACTCAGCAATAGCAAGGTTTGAGACTATACTCTTAAGTTCATTCAGTCCAGAATTTCACAAAGGCATCCAAAAACGCTTTAAATACATCCCAAAGTGGGTTACCTTCTGGTCTGGTCTTTTTGGATTCACCTTCCCATGATTCACTGCCCAAAGAAACAATTGACGAGAGAAATTAATGATCCTGAAATGTCAATACTGCCATGTATTTGCATTTTCACAAGTAAAAATAAAACAGTGAACTGTTACAACACATCCTTACAGATTAATTCTGTCCAAAGTTGGTTTGCTTCCTTTCTTCAAGCTACCGCTGGTCTGGACATCAACTTCATCTTCAATCACAACCACCTCTTTGGTTTTCGACTGCTCGCTACTACAACTGGTACCGTTGGAAATCTTTGTATGTAAGCTATCTGGAGCTTTGTCAGCCTGTAAATATGTACCAATAGTTGAAGTTTATAAGTCAATAAATCTGAAATTTCCACTCTGACATGTTTTGAACAATAATAGGTATAGCAATCTTCCGAACATTGTTAAGAAAAAAAGCATTTTCACTCAATGGTATGGGTAATCAAATCTTTACTATCACTATCAATCTACAAGACAATGTTAAAGCATTTCCAACCAACAATAATAACATCCATACTTGAAAAAGATAATATCACAATATGAAAACTGAGCACACATTTTAATCATGAATTGTGAAAATGCAAATACATGGCAATATTGACACTTCAGTTTTAAAGTATGATGGGTACTTAGGAGAAAATGGAGAAAAATCTACACACAACATTCCAATTTGGTACTACCTTAGTTCCTGCAGTTAGCTGGTTTTGGTCGGAGATCTCAGAGGTTGGAACATCTTTATGAGGTGATTTGACATTAAGGTCTGTGCTTCCTGTTTCATGCACAATACCTTCGTTAAAGGTTGAGTAATTTGAGCTTTCAACTGATGGATCTATGGCATTTCCTAGTGCTTCATCCACTGGGCTGGATTTGTTTTCAACCAATGGACTTGAAAGATTCATCGCTACATTGTCATCCATGCTCTTCATGGAATATAATCTATCCACTTGCGAACTATCAACACCAGCTAACTCCAACCCTCTAGTTCCCTTGTCCTCAGAAGACTTAGTCAAATCCGTTACTTCTTGTAACCTTCCATCCAAAGCCGGTGTCGCATTTACCGGCTTCAATGGGAATGTCTCCACTATCACATCTGCTGTTAAAGGATTCACATTAGACTTGGATGTTGCCCGAACATCTTCAGCATTCTTCTCTGCTTCCAAAGTTTCAACTGTCTGTGGTTCTGTACATGTTCGTTCCTCCCTTTCTTTATCTTTCCTATCCATCTGGCTACCATTGATTAGTCCATTGCCAAAACTCTGATATTCAGGCCCAATACAATGCCCATTCGAATCTATAGATTCAACAGCAACATGCTTCTCTATTTCCACAGGTCCATTTGCTTGTAACTCTGTACTTTTGGGTTCATTAAATTCTTTGTCATTCACTTCTATTTGAGTACTATTGATGATTCGTCCATTCTCAAACAAGTGACGTTCAGGTGCAACTAAATGCCCATCGGAAGAGAAAACAAGTTGTTCAATTGCACCCTGATTTTGATTGGCGACGAACAGCAATTCATTTGATGATATTGACAAAGAATTTTGTGGTTCTGCAGCAATGGTACCCAATGGATTGTGTTCCCAGAACTGATCAATGGTCTGCTGCTCCTCTACAGTAAACTTAGCAGGACCAAGCACTCTATTTTCCTGAATTATATCTCGAACAATTTCTCGTACAGTGTAGAAAGACCCACCAACTTCTTTGTGGGTCAGATTAAGTGATGGAAAACTCCCATTGTTTATTTTCTGATACCTGTAAGCAAGATTAGTATTCTCGGGTGAGTAAAAAAAAACTCAAAATCATATGTCAATCAATTTGGCTGGCAACGAATCCAAGAATGCATTAATCTTCAAATTTAGTCAAAATCTATAAGTGGATATAAACGGTTATATATATTTTGTATATCCGTTTATGTACTCACAATAGTTACATGATTCTTGATCAATGTATAAATAACTACAATCATAGCTTAATTAAGATTTTGACAAAGCTTATCCAGAAGATAGAAACAGGGAACTAAAAATCGGCCCACACCTTAATAGTATACAGATGTACAAAGTATCCTATATTTATATTCAATTACCCTGAGTAAAGAGTAAGGAGAAGACTAGTGCCCGTAATCCTAGTAGATTTCATCAGAACTACATTGTTTAGAAGATTAGTGATTTCTCTTTTCTTCTTCTCATAAGTTACAACAGTAGAAAATATAAACAATGAAACAATGATGTTATTACTTTTTTATAAAGGATTCAACCATTGCCTTCCTCTCTTCCTTTGAACGCCGAATTCTGGACCTCCTTCCTTCAGACTCATTATTTTTAGCTAGGGCGAATGTCTGCCCAACCCAACTACCCTTTATAGAATGCATTACACTCAAAGCTCAACACCTTCTGAAATTCAAGCCTGCACATACGTAATCTTTATGAGATATAGAAAAGGTACTTATATAAAATCCTAATAAACAGATACTAATAACCTAATAAACAGATGCTAAGAACTAAAACAAAAGAATTTTTGAAAAGAAAAGAAACAATGTGATATAAAACAGATCAAGTAGTAAGGAAAGGCCAGTGAAGCCAATCCTGAACTATAACGGAGAACCAAAATGAAGACATATATAAGCATCCGTAACCATCATGAGTCATGAGTCTTACTTTCCACTTGGAAAAAAAATGATCCTGACTGTACTATTATTATCAAAATCCACAAGCTTATCAGTCAAGAATGGAAGCTTAAAAAGGAAAAAATATGTAAAAATTTATACCACCTTTATCGTATTCAATACAGCTTACAGGTAGAAGAAGTGAAAAATTGATGGCGAAATTTCTTTTGTACATGAACAACAAAAACCAAGCACAACGACACCAAAAGCTGACCCAACACTTCTGGGAATCATGATTTCTTTGCAATTTGGTATCAAAATATCGGTATTCAAAACAAGATCATAAAGAAATTTCAATACAAGTGCAAGTTCCTCTTTTCAAATTTCAAATCCAAATTTCTTTCATTTCATCTGAAGTTCAGAAGAATAGACAGCCAGCAGAGGTAAAATGGGGAAATTAAAAAGAAGCCCAAGAAATATTTTCTTCGATCAACCGGCCGCTGCGAGTAAATACGGTGAGCTTTGAGTAACTAAGTGAAGAAATTGAGTGTGAAAAACATACACTAGAAGTGTGTTGTGTGTATCTGTATATATGCGTACAAAAGACAAGAATCAAAAATCAAGAGACAGTGACAGAAACAAAATCCAAGAGTAACCCACATGAGAAAACATCTATATCAACAAAACCCAACAATCAAAACATGGATTTTACACAACTCAACAACTTACAGCTGCCATGCACTTAATTATGCCTAAATTCCAACAATTAAATTTAAAAAAAATCTGGAAATGACAGTCAGAATAAAGCATAAATAATGGGGAGAGAGAAGAGCAGAGAGAGAGAGAGAGAGAGAGAGAGAGAGAATCACCTGAAGAGATGGGGACGATTACGTTTTGGGGTTTTTCCAAAACCCTACTACTACACTACTTACAGAGTGAGAGATGACAGATAAAAGCAGCAGCCAAAAGTCAAAACATATAAAAGGCAAGACAATGCCACTGTTGTTGAGTGGCAACATTGTAAATTGGCGAGGATGTTTTTTCTTTTTTTTTTCTTTTTTTCTTATTTTTATGCAATTGGCGAGGGTGTGTGAGGGGGCGGGAGATGTGTAATTTCCTTAATATTATGTTTGGATAAAGAAATTTAAGATTATTAAGAAATTTTAAAATGACAAAAATTAAAATGACAGAATTTTATTTTTTAGAATTTATGAATTATCTTGTTTGGTTAACCTAAAAAAAAATGAAATTGAATATGAAATTTTTTATTTTTAAACTTCAATCATAGAAATTAGAAAATGACATATATTTACCTAGAATTTAAACTTGGGAATTGGAGGTTCCAAAGTCCAAGTTTTTTTTTTTCTACGCGAAAATTTTAAATTTCAAATTCCAAGTTTTTTTTTTTACGCGAAAATTCTAAATTTCTATGCTTATGAATCTAAACAAGAAATTAGTATATATCGATTTATAAATCCTCATTTTTATCTAAATTTTAAGTTTATTTTTTTTATCCAAATATAGTGTAAGTTAGAAGGGTGGTAATTGGCAAAATCATAAATACTCAATTCGGGTCGTTCTACAAACGCCCATGAGTGCAAATTTGGGTTAGACTTTGGTAGGGTAGAGGAAGAGAATAACCTTGTCAATTACTTTTGTATCCCTTTGTCTAATGACCAATAAGCCCTTACCAAATAAATGAAATTTATATTTAAAGTATGTTTTTTTAGTTAAAATTGTCCATGAGATTGTCATAAGGAAAATTTTATTTAAACCTATGTAACATATTTCTACACTCAACTTAAATGTCAGATGTTAATTGTCTTTTTTATCCTAGTGCATAATTCTCATCAAGTACCAAATGAATTAATAATAATATATCGATAAACTCACCTATTATAATTAAACCTTACCATGACTCCTTGTTTATCCTACGTCCATTCAACTAAAACCCTAATAACTTTTATAGAGAAAAACAAGTTTTTTTTTTTATAGTTGGATACTAATTTTGAACTTTTGAATCCTCTAACTAAAGTGTGAATCGATTTATGGAATTTTTTGTTCATTTGATTTCGATTTTTTTTTTTTAATTTTAGAATATGAGTATTTGGGTTTCAATTTTTTTTCGTCAATCCTCGGTGTAGTTTGAACTTTCTACAACAGTCGTAAGCAAAAAAATTACGACTTTGTTGCTGTTTGTGGGATTTTCTAAAGCACATCTCTATGAATGTCATGTTTGTTTCAATATTGAGTGTAACTATTGGTGTGTTTGTTTCAAGTACAGAATTATCTCTACTAAATAATAAAGCACTCATTGTTAACCAAAATTCTATGAAATTACCAGTTTAACCCTCTAATTAAAACAGAACATGAATAAGAAATGTGGAGCAGAAATGTAATTTCACACAACCAAATTTTGCTTTTTTTTTTGGGAGTTTTAACAAAAACTCGTTGTACTGTTCACTTTAACGAAAAACCACATTTTTATACTAAAAAGTCAAACCTGGTAGGTACTATTCACTTTACCCTTTATTTTGTCCTTAGCGTTAAAACTCAAAGTTTTCAAGCCTTTTTCATTAGTTTCCCTTTTTTTTTTTTTTTTCAAAGCCTCACCTACATGTAATTCTAACATATCTCTAATTTTAAAAAAAAATAAATTCTCACTCTCATATTCTCTATCACTGTCTTCCTCTCTCCTTCTATTTCAAAAACAAAAATAAAAAATTTTCTCACACTTTATGTGTGCCCATATGCTAGTTAGTGATTAATTCCAAGAGTTCGGACCAACCGTGTCCATTTAGTTATTAGATCTAAACAGTCACAATCTTGAGTCTTGGAGAAGATATAATAGTTTGTAACTGCTTATTCAACAACCACTTATGTAATGAAATCAAATACTGACCAAAACTAATTAAGATGAAAATTGGTTGGGGCAATTAGAATGCAGAAGGTAGATTACCTCATTAGAATTACAAAAATTTGCAAAGAAGAAAGCTGGTCTGTGAAGAGAAGGTGATGCGTTATTATTGTGCTGGTGTTGATAGCAACCCAAGTAAATGGTTTGGTTGAGAGAGCATGAATTTTGGTTTGGTAGAGAGAGAAAGCAAATGGTATAAAGATAACTTTAAATTTTGTTTTGGGCAACAAAAAAAAAATAAAATTTTAAATTACAGTTTTTTTTTTTTTTGGTAAACTGGAAATATTATTTTAGGGCAAAGGCCAAGTAAAGTTACACAGAGATCCAAACACAACTTAAGTACATAACAAAAAATTGGGCCTCAAAAGCACACAAAAAAGAGCCCAAAACAAGAAAACCCTAGCACCTTGCAGTCCCCAACAACAAAAAGGAGACCAGATTCTGAAACTAAACTCGCACAAATGGCAAAAGAACTCTCAAAGAGAGAGAAGTTTTCTCACCAAAACGGGAGAGAAGAAGTTATCCATTAGGCTATTTTGCCTAGGCAATTTTAAATTAGGTTTGGAATGGTAGTTTAATAAATTTTGGTTTAAAGAGTTATTAATTTTTTAATTAAAAAATAATAATATGGGCGTAAAGAGTAAGTTGAGTGTAGAAAGAGGTTATATGGGTTCAAATAAAATTTCTTTTGTCATAACTCCTCATTTTGGTCCATCAGATTGTCCACCGTCAATCATTTGGTCATTCTATGAAAAATCTCTCTTAAATTGAAGAAACCTTTAGTTCAAGTGAAGGAATTGATTTGATAAAAATACCCTCAAATTAATGGAGTTTTTCACAAAAGGACCAAAATTATTGGCGTGGATAATCTTATGGACTACTTATATCGATTTTAAATCTCAGAGACTAAAGTGAGGAGTTATGTCAATCTTAAAGAACATTTTTATTAAAAAGTGTTTAAAATATAGAACAGTTCAAATTGCAAACAATTTCAAGACCCATTGATTGAATAGTCCCAGCCACCATAAAGTCGTAGGCCTCCTTTAGTGGCTCGAATATGGGTTAGAGCATCTCCAAATGAGACGTCAAATGCAAAACATCAAATTTCAATCTGATGGCTGACTTGACAATTTGACATATTGTCAATATTTTCCTTCCAACTGATAGGTCAAAATTTATTGCTTTATTTTTTTTTTAAATAAAAATAATAAAAGTTGGGTTGTTTTTTGTTTAAAAATAGTTAAATAATACTTAAATGTACTAGCATTTAAGGTAAGGCAAGTGGAATGCCTTTGGAAATAGCAAAAATCATATTTGAAGGCAGCTTTAAATTTGACATCTCTTTGTCTATGTCAGCTTAGCCTTCTTTCCCATGTTAGCTTTAACATCTCGATTAGAGTAAATGGTACGTCATTTGTTATTGTTATATGTCTATGTGGCATTTTTGACATCTCGTTTGGAGATGATCTTAATGAGAGCTCTTAGCTAAAATTTGTGGAGGATTTAAAAAATAATAATCAGCTTCAATCATGCTCCCACTTGTAAGTGAAAAGTCTTAAATTAGATTTTCGCAAAAAGACAAATTTGAACTAAATTATTATAACTATTATGAGGTTAGCTTACTCCCTACACCCGTAAGTTAAGATAATGTCATATGTATTCCAATCATTATCCCTATTTACCTCCTAAGACGGTGAAGAAGAAAGAAGGGTCTAGCCGAAAGATTTATCAGTGTACCTTTGAATATAAGCCAGGTACATAAGGATGGCAACGATTCAGTTTGGAGACGGAAATGTTATATCCATCCCCATAGCCATGAAAATTAATCATATTCATAACCACAAATTAATCATCAGGGATTATCCATAACCATACTCACTTGGTAATGCATATTCCTATCGGTTAACAGTTATATCTATCTTCGTCAAAAACAAAAATTTATTTTGATTCAATTGACGCACAATAATTTAGTAGATATTAATTTCGTCATTAAATAGCCATGTAACATCCCACATCGCCCAAGAGAGTGGATCATGTAAGCCTTATATGTATATTCTCATATCTACCTAGTACGAGGCCTTTTGGGAGCTTACTGGCTTCGGGTTCCATAGGAACTCCGAAGTTAAGTGAGTTCAGGCGAAAGCGTTCCCAGGATAGGTGACCCATTGGGAAGTTCTTGTGTGAGTTCCCAGAAACAAAACCGTGAGGGTGTGGTAGGGGCTCAAAGAGGACAATATCGTGCTACAATAGAGTTAAGCCCGGGATGTGGTAAGGGCCTCAGGCCGAGATGTGACAATTTGGTATCAGAGCCAATCCCTGGCTGAATGTGTGCTAACGAGGACGTCAGGGCCCTAAGGGGGGTGGATTGTAACATCCCACATCGCCCAGGGGAGTGGATCTTGTAAGCCTTATATGTATATTCTCATCTCTACCTAGCACGAGGCATTTTGGGAGCTCATTGGCTTCGGGTTCTGTAGGAACTTCGAAGTTAAACGAGTTTGGGCGAGAGCATTCCCAAGATGGGTGACCCATTGGGAAGTTCTCGTGTGAGTTTCCAAAAACAAAACCGTGAGGGTGTGGTAGGGGCCCAAAGCAGACAATATCGTGCAGTACGATGGAGTCGAGCTCGGGATGTGGTGGGGGCCTGGGCCGGGATGTGACAAGCCACGTCCAATAATAAAAAACATAACAATGATTGAATTTTGGCAAGTATAAAAATAGGAGTATTGAATAAAATAGTGTTAATGTTGGTTGTTGATATCTCCCATAAGCATGATATTTGGTGCATAATGAACATAGTACAGGGTTCAGGGAATACTATTATATTATATACTAAATATTTATGTGGTGATTAATTAAGTATGGTAATAGTAGTATAGGTTCACTCAAATATAAATATAATATTTATATATATTATGGAAATTGTTATTAGCACTTCAAAAATCTTATTTGACATTCCAAACTTTCTATAATTAGAAAGAAAAATGCATTTATGAGAGTGCAGAATAAGATTTTTGAAATGCTAATAACAGTTCCCTATTCTACTATATATTATATATATTATTCGGTTTAGATTCGGATTCAGTGATGGATATGAAGTGCTAATAACAGTTCCCTAAATCCCTGGTTGAAGTAAATTTTCTTAAGAAGCTTCCAAAAAACCATTTTTGATATATATATATATATATATATATATATATTGTCAAAAGTAATTTTTATTACTAAGAGAGTATAAGTACATACAAGGGGGCCCAAATACACTTTAAACACAATACAAAAAGTGAACACCCAACACTAAACGAAAACCCAACCCGAGGGAAGAGCTCAAAACAGAAAAACACAAAAGCGAAAAATCCCTAAAAGACTAGCTTCCTTCGCCGCTGTCAAAGTACCTGCTGTCGACCACAAGCCATCATTCCATGCCCTAGATCGCACCAAACACGACCCCATAATCAGAAAAGATGAAGGCTCCATCTTCCTCCACCAAGCACCACACAAATCAAAACTGCAGCCACCAAAGGAAGAAGCCAGTGGGAAAGAACTTTCCCCCAACAACAAAGCCGAAAACGACATACAATTGGAAGGTGGTGGTGCGTACACCCAAGCTGAAGCTCTACACACCTTCCGAGAAAGTCGCGAAATGCGGCGAAAGATATGGTTGTAGAATCGGACATGTGTGAGAACGATGGAGGACAAAAGCAAATAGAAAAGTCAGAAGATGGCTGGATTAGAGTCATAGAGGTGGAAAAACTTGAGGGAGAAGAAGAAAAAGAAGGTTCGAAGTGGGACTTTCTAATTGAGGCCGATGCAAGGTAAGATCGGAGGCCATAAGGGGTGGATTACCAAGAAAAACGGGTCGAAAAACATGGAGAAAGCCAGTCGCACAGATAAGGGAAGAGAGACAAAAGAAGAAGAAAAAGGGATGCCACCTACCCTGGCCACTGCTAGGGCCGACGACTGAGCGGTTGACGGAATTAGGAGCACTCACACACCGGTGAGAAAGTCCTAAACACATCTATAAAACACAAAGAATGATTGAGATGCTCTTACCCTATAACATTTCTGCAGTTTTCCATTCATTCCATCTCTATGTACAACACAACGTGTAATAGGGATGCGTGCGGGTCAGTTTGGCTCGGTTAGCCAAAACCGAAACCAAACCAACATAATCGGTTGGGCCAACACAAGTAGTTAATCTTGTCGAATCTTTCCCAACACGAACAATAAAATCGCTGGTTGATTCAGTGTGACAAAAATCAAAACAAGAAACTGCCAACAACTGCTTTTTATTTTAATCAAAATTTCCTATCAGCACTGCCAAAAGAATACATGATGCTGTCAATTTGTGAAAAAGAATTTCAACGAATGTTGTGTGTACTGCTCAAAAACCTGACATCTCTCTGCCACTTCAAATGCGACGGTAAATGCCACACATGCTAAGTAAGCTGCCATCGCTGGAAAAGCTACCGTCTTCCATCCACTTTGAATATCTATATCCTGTCGGAGAAAAATACCTACAAAATCCGTCTTTCCAGACCATGCTGTCGCTGTTAGAAAGAATAAATCTTATCCTCAATCATCGAGAGTCCTTTTCGCACTCCACAGTTGAGAAATAGCGTGTTCAGTAGCTGTATCACAATTCGAGTGTGACGGAAACTAGACCATTTCAACTACAAGTATAACCTTTCTATCCTCCAAGTGACTTCTGTCTGTATCCATGCCTCATTCTTTCAAATAACTTTTCTTTTGTTTTCCTTTTCTTGTCCATCTTGAGTCTATATCTCTCTTCCCTCTCCCTCTCATAAATTCCTTGCCAATGCACTTCCCCGGTGAGTGGCCACAACCACATCTCCCTTGGATGATCACCGTCATCTGCAGCTTCTGCTAAATCTTCATCCATACTCTTTAGCAATGTACTATCAAAATACTTAGCCCACATAAATCCTTTCCGTAGCTCAACTGGGTGCTGCCCTTCCAGTGCACCAGAAATTGGATCTATAAAAACCATCTTTCGTCCACTATGATAAGCCCATACATTCACAAGGACTTCTAATACCCGACAGTAACAATGCTTTTTCTGTTGATATTTAAAAAATGTAAGTGACGAATGTTAAACTCCATGCGAGACCAGAAAACGTGATCTAAATAACATACCTCAAGTTCTGAAGAACCCAACAAACAAATACTTCTATTGCCAGAATTGGCGTGTAAGGCATCCAGAGATTCAACAAACATCCTGTAGTTTAAATACAAAATTTCAGTTATATTAATCATCCGCAAGTTCCTTTTGTCTCAGAAGCTATAACAGAAAAGCAGAAATTGTTGTGATTAAATTACCGAGAAAACATGACAAACTCAACGAAGGAACGAGTTGGCATCACCCAACTATGCAAGGCAGACCAGTGACCACCATCTTCTGGCATGGGCGGGAGAGCTTCTGTATTTGAGGGCAAGTTATACATCCAACGAAATGCATCTTCAAAAACGTTTCTGCATTCATTTTAAGTAATTTAAAAAAAAAAAAAATCATACTCTATCTTGATGAATTAATGAACTCATTGGCATTTGCTTTATGGATATAAGAAACCTAAATGCCTCATAAATCTGTGTAAATATCTATATGAATTAACGTTTTGCACATGCAGCCATGCACACATTTTGAGATTGACAATGCCCCCATCATTTGGGTTCATGAAAAACAAAATCTCTACACCTTCGTATTTCTATTTTTGTGCTTGACAATATTAGAGAGTAGTCGGCAGATAAAGAAAATTAACTTTTGTAATCCATGATTCCTGTCAGCTTTGTTCACACAGCTTCCAAACTGAGGTCCACCGCCGAACCTGACAATTTTTTAGGGCAGGACACACTAGCAATTGCTAGATTGGTATCTTGGGGTTTTAGAGCTTAAGACCACACGGGAGAAACCAATGTGCCTCAGCCAGACCCACTGAGCTAGCATCAAAGGTAAGTTGTGGTTGGAGTGTAATGTATACCCAAAATTTACTGTATAGAGTAACGCAACTGGACTCATTATTCCATGGATTTTAGCTCTAAGTGTACCATTGGCATTGGATGACAATAGGGAACCTCACTCTCATAATACCAACATCCATTGTTTAAAAGGAAAACTAATGAAAAAGGCTTGAAAACTTTGAGTTTTAATGATAAGGACAAAATAAAGAGTAAAGTGAATAGTACCATATTTGACTTTTTAGTGTAAAAATGTGGTTTTATGTTAAAGTGAACAGTACCATAGGCTTTTCGTTAAAACTCCTTTGTTTAAAAGGACAAATTCTTGTACCGGACAGCCCTATGCGGCCACTGTCCCACCCACTGTGAGAGAGTGGTTGCATACAGCTGCCTCACCAAAGAATTCTTCATTCAAGGAGGTATCTCTGTGGAGCATGGCATCACTTATTAGATTCCCAAACCCTTGACAACAATCACAGTTATATCTCATTCACCAAATTTTCAACTAATATTCCAAACAAGTACCTGCAGTGTCCCTCATTTAAGATGTCGCATGCAGACCAAAACGTGAGTGCATCTTTACTTCCTGTCACTCCACCATTCATGTTCAAGCGTCCCCAAAAGTATATCACATCACCTTTTGTGTTGTCTTGTATTGCTTCTTCCAAAACCCTTTCAGCTTTCTTGGACAAAGCAACCTGCTTTGAAAAACAATGACGAATATGATGGCAAACTAAAGAACAATGCATGCCTACATGCACTTATGAGGTGTTTGATTGACTGGACTAGGACTGATATGGGTTATTCAACACCAATATCAGCTTGGACCAGAAATGGGGTTAATAAACAACTGATAAGCTGGGACCCTTATGCAGGCTTATTTTGTACCATTTAAAATGAGGGGCGTAAATAGAACCAACCCAACCCAAACAAATCCCATGTATCAAAACGTGCCCTAAAGAACAATATTATATGTATAGAGAGTATAGATTATACACACACACCCCTACATAAATTCATACGTCAATCATTATGTACAAGTTTCAATACTTGTACCATATATGTTTCCTTGTAACTATACTTCTGTTCAATTTATCTGTCATCAAAACCATTCAAAGGAATCTAGAGTTTTGTGTGTCTATACAGGAATGTATGTTTGTAGGCAAACACAAGTCATCCATGCAAAATATAAGTCATAAAATGTTATATAGCTATTTATGATCCCGATTATTCTATATTTATTCAGAATATTGTGTTCATCTATTTGCTTGGACGACAAGGATGGCAATTACATGACTATACTTTGTTTATTTATTTATTTTTATTTTTTTTGCAGCGACAATAATTAAACAGAAACCAATTAAATATACAGTTTGGACCACTGGACAAGATTGATTGTGGAACTTAAATGAGATCGGACAAATGCTTCTGAATAAAATTACCAAAAATAAGAAATACCTTACTACCAGCAGCACGCCAAGATTGAAACCCAATCCAAGGTCGCTTATGAACGCTATCCACCTTGTTTGCAATAGCGAACATTCCACCAATCTCACAGAGAATATTGCGATAGTAAGTTTCATTCAATACGGGAAGCCGGTCAACAGCATCCACATCATCTGATGTTGACCTCTGTGTTCTTTTTGACTACCACAAACATTGTAGGATAATTTAAAAAACATTAGGCAACTGTTCAGATGTAAGTATTATTTTGAAACTTCAAAAAGAACTGGAGCTTTTGCATTAAAACAAAGTTTCTAGCTGTTAATAAAATGAAAGCATACAGTAAACGCAAGTTTAAAGCTTTCATTGTTGTCCTTACAAGAAATGCATCTTAATACAGCATAGGATATTAGAAAAGATGATAAGTTTAACCAAGAGAATAGTGAAAATAATGAATCTTGAAGGTATTAAAAAACATACAGCATACAAAAAAAAAATAGAAAGAATAAAAAAGGAACTCACAAGGCTTAATCCACGGTACAGAGAGCCATGGTGCAAGAACGGCCAGGTCCCAGACCCACTGTATATCTCATAAATGCATACTGTCTGGCCTGTCCTCTCAAGTTCACCCTCATCCCTCTCATTTGCTTCAAATCTAAGCTTTTCAGCTTTTCGAGCATTACGATATATGTCATCCCATAAACCAGGATCTTTCTCCATTCTTTCTGATAGCTACAAGAAAGAATGTCCTGTTTCAGATGTCTTTCGAGAATGACTATATTAACATAAAAAGGGAGGGAAAAGAAGAGTCAGAATTGACCTAGAGACACACAAGTTCTGTATTTTCAGGAAATGACATACCTCCTCCATTTCTAAAGTCTCATATTCTTCAGAGCTTACAATTTCCTTGAAGAGATCCCAATCTAATTGAGTTGGAATATCTAATGCCGAATCCCAAGTTACATTTTCAGAGATGTTTGGTGAGTAACCAAAACCCAACAAGTCTTCTTCTAGGGCATTAACAACACTAGTGTTTTTCCAGGATGACTGCTCATCAATGTCCATAACATTTTCTGTTCTGTAATCTATTTCATTCCCTAACAAATTCCACTCCCATGTAGCCTGTTGAAGCTGAGAGATTGGCCCCGGCAGCAGAGCATCTGATGGAAAATTTAGCACATTCTCCAAAAGCCTTGCATAACCGGTTATGCATTCTGATGCCAGCAAGTTCGTAGCAAGCAGCCTTCCCGAAGAGGCAACCGTTCGAGCAAATTTAGAAAGTTTCCCATTTGAAATCATAAGTGAGAAAGCACTCATTAAAGCATCAGGATTATGTTTTGGGAAAAATATCATGTGAACTCCATCAACCACCTGTAATATCACAGATGTAAAAGACAATAAAACAGACACCTTCACTTGTATAAGAAAATTACTGTCAGGACAAAAAGAATTTGAGTGAACTCACATATTTCTTCAAGACAAGAAAATCAGGTGCAATAACTGGGATCCCAAAGGTCATGGCACGGATAAGTAATGGCGGAAAACCCTGCACATCTTGTGAAGAACCGTAGAGAACAATGTCAGCCATTAATAACACACTGTTCACATCACCATTCAAGCCATAATGCCGTACAGATCCATGAAGAAGTCCCAGATGTGAAGTAACTTCCTACACGAGAGATCAATGGATCAAAATGACTATGAATAAATGCCAGTGCTAGAGTAAAACACGCCAGAAGATTAACCAGATATCACAATGAAATATACAAAGGACATCATTTTCAGTCAACGTTGTCATTCTGTCAGCAACCAGATTCATATCGCAAATTTTTTTTTTTCAGTTGCCATTAGCCAGAAAAATCATTTGTTCGGAAAATAGAGGCGCTTGAATACATTAGATAAGATGCAAGAAGCTCAAATTGTTATGCGTACTGGGGCAACAGCATAATCTAGAGGCATCGATTAAGGCTAATTACCTGGAAAGCATCATCAGAGGAATTACCACATAAGAAAACAAATTTAAACGGCTCTCCTGCATCATCCCTCCTTGCATATTTTATTAGCAGTGGCCCTATAGAATGCATTGCCACAGCATAGTCCCATGAAAGCTCATCGTAGAAAAAAGAACTTCCAACAACTACAACCAGCATATCATCTTCACTAAATCCATTTATCTTCCTCAACTGATTCTTGGAGTGGGTTTTTCTGTACCTTTCTGCAGCCCAAACATCTACTGGTGATCCCGGAATGACAAAGAAGTTTCCAGTGTCAAGAACACTATATAACATCTGACACAGGATGGAAGGAAAAAATAAGACAATTTAAGAAACCACAGAACAATCATTTTGCAAAAATAATTAGGAATACAGTGCAACAAAATATTTTTAAAACAAAAGAAGGCAATATCTACCGGCAGAGTGAAATCTGGAAACACGACAATATTAGCTCTGCTAAAAGCACTTTTCCAATGAGAAATAAGATTCTTCAAGCCCATTTCTTCATACACGGGAAGCCGATTTGCAAGTGTATCTTCTTGAATTATCCATATCAGTGGTACTGAACAAAAAGGCTCCTGCATAAGGCTGCATGAATCTAAATCTCACTAATCATAGCAAGTTCAACTGAAGCAACTTTATACATGCATTTCATTATGTGAAAGTACTAGCTTGAGTACGCTTTTACTTTTGGTATACTTAACTATGGTATGCTGCGGTTATAAAAGAAAAAAGAATGAGAAAAGAGAAGGTAGAAAATTCTTTATGAGAACATTTATATTGTTTCTGAAAGAATTAAAGAAAGACAAGAAATTAAAAATAGTAAAATGGAGCAGACCATGGGTTAAATTTATAAATAAATAAATAAAACCAAAGCTGATTTAAGTTTACTGCCTCTCATGCCTCATCTTAAATACCTGCAGTAACCACGTCTTACCCTCAAAATAAATAAAAAAACAAAGGAATATATCATAAGTTTGTGGACTTAACAATTAGCTTTAATAATATCTACTGCCTCTTGCCTTGATTCCAACTTCCCAAAAAGTTTTGTATCCAATCTATTGTTTATATTATTTTAACAAACCTCTCTCTCTTCCCCTCCCTCCTTCCTTGAAATATACCTTTTATTTATTGGTGTCTATCCCTAAAGGAAAGGATTTGAAAAGTTGCTACTACCAATGCTGCAGTTAGTCATAGTTACTCAGTCCTGATCAGGCGATATTGCTTCAAAACACAGGCGTGCTAATACCAAATATTTGTTGGCTACCCAAAAAACATAACTTATTATGGTACAAACTTTTTATATGCTCTGTAAATCTATAACAACTTCTAACATCTATTCCGAACTCCACGTGGTAATACAAAACATATATTAGACACATTCTTAGCAACTTCCATGTTTTGTATATTCTCCCAAGCTGGGTTGCAATAAAATGAATAACAAATCAGTCTAAACATATGATCAACCAACCAGTGAAAATACTCTGGGTTTATGAGATGGGATATGAATGGATCCATGGTCATGTAGGTAGTGCATGCAAAAGAAACCCTCTTAAAGTTAATTACAGGACCATAGAAGGACTGTCATACAAACCCACCTTGAAATGGATTCTTTTGCTTCCAGTGAGTCAGCAATGACACCTCCAAAACTGTAGAAAGTAACAGGTGTCAATATCTTGCCGAGTAAACCAACCAAGGGTAAGGGTAAATTTTGAAGTCACTTGAGTATCAACAAATTTTTAAGACTTTCAGTCCAATTAAAAATAACAAAACAAAAATTAGGGTAAAAAACCCCAAATACAAAATAAGAGGCGAACGTACATTGACCAATCAATAAGCCCATAACTCTCCGGAGCTAAAATGGAAATCTGGCCATTAAATTGCTCCCACATTTTATGTGCTTTACCATTCGCTACAGAAAAAATCTGTTACATAGGCATTGCAAGAGCGCATAAGTAGCAGTTGAGTACATAGGTACTTATTTCTATGAATGACTTGATTTAGTAACACAATTAATTTGCACTTCTACTTCCTTTTCCCATACAAATGAGCAGCATATGCTATTAAGATAACAGGATCCACTTTATCCCCCTTGTAATCTTTAAGAACCCTCGCATCTTGTTCTATCCACACCACCCAAATACAACCATCACACACTGCAATTCCGTAAAAATTTTGCATTCTCCCAATCCATTAGCAAAATGTCCTCAATTACCAAAGAAATACATGAAAATTTGTTTTCTTTGGGGCATTGTTGTGGGCATCATTTTCCTGTGAAATTCCAAAATCAGCCTTTCTTCTTTATTCATGGGGATTGGAAGGCAGCTGTATCTTAATCCTACAATATTGTTTAGTTTAGCCATTTTGCAATTATAATTTGATAAACTGAAGGAAGTTATACGCATGGTTCTAGCACAGGGATTAAAGAGGTTGTTTATTTATCATCAGAAAACAGCTTGTTCCCAAAGTTTGGACCTCTCTGCTCTGCATTCACATTTAACTTACTAACGCTATCGCTCGAATAAAAAAATAAAAATATTTTGTTTCTCATCAGATGGAAAAACAAAATTATGAGCACATTTGCACTAAGAACTGACCTTAAGTTCATAACCCAGTTTCTTGATATTCTTCATCACGGTAATCAACATCAAAGATTGTGGATCTTTCTTCATGTTTCCCAAGATCTGACAAGTATCAAAAGTAGGCACAACCAAAAGTGAAAATCAACTCGGTGCATAACACTTGTTGAATTAAATAAGATTGCCTATTATGGTGAGTATGGTAGCCAATGATATTGAGGTACACATCTCCATATTCTAATTATTATATGAAAATAAAGATTTAAACAAGACAGGCAGCTTCAAGATACTTCTAACCATATATTTACATTCACAAGAAAATTGCATATACAATAAACATAGAAAGAGAGGACCAGATGTCTTAAACAAAGAAGAATGGCATATGAGATGAACACAAAGATCAAGCTTGCACATAACCATTAGCCACTCTATGCTTTAATACGAGGCAGCATTGTGACATACAGAGATCAAATGGAATGTTTTCCAATAAAATATACTGGTCCTGTGAGTTACTAGAAGAGAATTACTAGTTATTAGAAGAAAATAATGAAAGCCCCTTACACTACCATAAACTGGCTAGCTCAGCTTCAAGCAGACAAATTATTGAGACCAAAAGATTTAGCCTATTTATCAAAACAGGGTTTACCATAAACATACAGTCCAATATGTCATCCAGCCAAAAAAAAAAAAAAGGTCTGAGGAGTTGGACTACTTCGTGTAATGAAAATTAGTTCTTCATTGCAAGATCTGCTTATTCTTGGTGGGCATCAGCTGGTTCAGAGTTTAAAGAGTTGGTTCTGCTATCCACACCTCATAAATTTGTAATTAAATACGTCCCTGAAAACTGTCCTTCCACACGACACAATAAAACCAAACTAGTATGCCAGGACATGTTGCACCCCCTCCTTCATAGGCCTTTTTAAAGATTCAAGTGATACGGGTGGCATTCAAATATCTGTCGAAAATGAAAATATTACTACCCAAACACCTCATTCACCATTCTCATAAAGTACATTCTGATAGCATCAGCCTCTGCTGATAGCTCCAATTAATCTCCACCCCATTCCAACAAAATTGTTTTCTCCGTCGTAACCTATCCAAACCGAACGAAATAATCCCTCCTATTTCATTAGAGAAAACTGTACATCGGAACCATAAAATACATATTTAATGCTAGGGAGATTAAAATTCTACTTTCCTTATTGGCCAGAATCAAAAATCTAGTTTACCAGCTCCCGATATGCTCCTATTGTCCAAAAGTGCTCAATTAAAAGACCTCAAGCACACTTTGATAAACACGATTACTACAAAATGTAATTTCAAATTTCAAATTCATAACAAACAATCCAGATTCAGGCAAATGCAGCAAGAAAATAACACTCACAAGAGCAAGCCTCGGCGGTCGAACACCAATCCTCGCCTCATTTCGAGCCCGATCAAGCCCATCACCCTCCACGACCCTCTTCGAAACCCTCCCAGGCATAAACCTCAAGGTGCTCCCAAACTTCAAGCCTTCCCTGAGCAAGCGCCCTCTCTCACTCCCTTGCCTGAAGACCAAGGTCATGGAGCTCTGCAACAGCATCGTGGCCACGGCGAACACAAAAAGCGCGAAGATGAGGACCGCGTAGAACGCCGACTTTCCTTTGAAGGGAAAAAGACAGAGCAAGCCCTTGCGATAGAAGCGGTGGTGCGATCTCGGCGGGGGGCGAGGGAAAGGTTGTCGATCCGTGAAGAGCCCCCTGGGTCGGTCTCTCTGGTGGATAGGGTTAGGGTTCCGCTTGAAAGGAAAGCGATCGCGAATCGAGTGGAAGCCGAGATCGGTACCGCCATTATCGTCGAGGATAGCTGGAGGAGACGACGAGTTCCGGCCCATTACAAGGAGTTAATATTGTCCTTTTATCCTCGTAGGCTATTTTCCCGGCAAAGTGACGAGAAGCAGCCTCCGAGAGAAAGAGAAAGTAAAGGAGGTGATGGTCGGGTGCTGGTGCGATGTAGCATGGACATGGAGAGAAAGAGAGAGATAGCGAGATATATATATATACATACATACATACATACATATACATATATATATATATATGGAGAGAGAGAGAGAGAGAGAGAGAGAGATTCTACCTTCGAAGAGTTGAGGGACGGCCTCACCGGTGTTAATAGTGGGCCCTTTTGGTGCTTAGTTGCAAGTTAAATCATTTAACTTGTTGGACTTGATGGATCCAGTCCCATTGATGCTAACTTCATGTGACGGCTACGAAAGCCCAATACTAAGTTAAGGTTGAATTCAAAACTTATTCGTTTAACTTTTAATTAATTTAGTCATAAACAATCAAATTATTTAGGGTCCTTATCACAAATAGTTTTTGAAATTGACCCACACTATCAAGATAATTTCTAGTATTGAAAATCGATTAATGTAGTCCCTAAAAAAATATCGCAAATCAATTTGGTATTTCCGTCGCAATTATGTCAAATATTATGTTAAATGCCAATGTGGCACATAAATGGATCTCACAAGATTTACGGGTTTTTATTGGTACCTGAAATTGATCCACACCATCAAAATGGTCCATAGAATTGAAAATCGATCAATGTAGTTCTTGAAAAGAGGTGTCATAAATCAATATAGTCATTCCGCCACATTTTTTTCAAAAATTTTGTTATGTGCTTATGTGCGTTTAATAATTTAATATTTAATTTAAAAAGTTATCAAAATACCTTTTTGAACAATGGGATTATCTCAAGGCAAAGCTAGTCGCTCTCCGTGTTACCAAGATCACTAGAGGAGCGCCCAACAAGCTCTCTAAGTTTAAGGTTGTGAGGTTGTCAATCACCCAAGTGTTAACTGAATGTCATAGAAGTCATCGTCAATCTAAGGCGTAACTAAAGGTGGTCCCAATTCGGTGAAGGGTGTTGAAAGATGTAAAGATGGGTGTTTTGAGATTTTTTTTTTTTTTTTTTGCAGAGGAGACAAAGAAGGCTACCATAAATGGAGGTAGTGGGGTGTGGGTTGGGATTAGAGGTGATTCCAAGACTAGGTTACTCGGTTGACAACTTTTTTTAATTTATTATTAAATTATTAAACCTATTTTTATTTATTTTTAAGTGAATTAGATTTGTGGGATTCGTTTATGGGTCACATTAGCACATAAATAATTTTTGGCAAAATTGTGACAGCACCACCACATTGATTTGAGACACTTATTTCTAAGACTACATTGAACAATTTCGAGGACCATTAATGACCCTAAAGAAAAAAACTATTTTATGAGACCCATTTATGTGTCACATCAGCACATAACAGAACTTTTGGCAGAATTGTAACGGAAGAACCACATTGACTTGTGACACATATTTTCAAGGACTACATTGATAGATTTTCAATTTCAAGGACCATCTTGATGTTGTGAGTCAATTTCAGGGACCATTTATGATAAAAACCCAATTATTTATTTGTTAACTTCGTTGTACTTTAATCTCTACCTACATGGTGTACAAACCATTGAGTTTTATTTAGAACTCTTACTATTTGATTATGAATTGAAACTTACTTTTCAATTCTTTCTTTAATGAAGATTAGTGATTTCTAATCTTCAGAGCTTTCACAAGTCATGAGTGACACCTAGCAGTGTGTCATGGCTACCCAAAACTAAGCAGAAGATGCGGAGAACCTATTCCAACTACCTATTCAGTTGGAATTGCAATGCAATAGTCCTTTTCTATATCAATACTCTTGATCACATTATTGGGTTGATAGTTTATTCATGCCTACTATTTAATGTAATTTTTTTATGTAAGGTGCGAACTGCACTTTGCGCACCTTACGTGTGGACAAAATATAATATGTTGGATCTAATCTTACCAGTCGAAAACAAATCAATCATAACAATCTAAGGGTGAAACTGGATCATAAATGATCATCATTAAATCTAAAATAGGACCCGACAACAATTAATCTCCCCCTCTTGCGAACGATTTCAAAAAATTTGTAGTCGACTTCCTTCCCGTTCGAAACTCAATCGAAGTTGTCTAGTGCTTCTTGTATCCGGCCCAGCGTTCGAAACTCACTCAACTTCCACACCGCATGTTCAAAACTGAGGCGAAGTTGGTTTGAATATTTTTCAGTCTGTTTGACAAAAAGAACGTGTTGCTTGCTTCCTTCGAGTCGCATTCAGAGTCCTTGCACAATACTCGACGTCATACTTCATTCTCCCAAGTAAATTTGAAATTTGGTGAGTTTGAAAATTTGGAACCCTATAAATAACGGTGTTATTTCCATTAAATTTGATTAATTAATTTTTTGAAATCTTGTCCCTGGATTTCACTGTTCAATGATTTTACCTTGCAATTTCGTCAAATTATTTTAATTTCATTAATTTTGGATTTTTGGTTTCTTAGTTAAAGTTTGATTTTCCACAAATAGCTATAAAAGTCCGTTACTCTTAGCATTTTTGGATAGACTTCGATCCAATGAACGCGTAGGTAAAAACCATTTGCGAAACTGGGTTAAAACGAAGGAGAAATAGGTAAGGAAATCAAGGATATTTTTGTATATTGGATCTTCTGTAAACAGAAGGTCCCAGATTGTTGGAAGGAGGACCTAGCCATTTTTAGAAAAGCAACCAGTTGCACAACTCGAGTCACTAATCAGAACTGCGACATTGAACTAGTTTCTAGGCAACTTTTCCTATGGCTTTCTTGGCCAAATCCAGTGGCTTCAAGCGACGCCACCACTGGTAACAACTCAGCGCCACCCCACGATCATTTCCCACCCAGAATTCTCAACGTTGGACCGTCGTACAAGACGTATCGATGTTGGACGTTTTCTAGATTTTCAATGCTGGGGATTGGCCCCTTTTTCAACCACCCTGACAACACTCACCACAGGTCCACCACCATTCGACAGCTCTTGGTCCCAAGAACAAAACCCAAGCTACAGATTAGACGTTGAATCTCCGACGAGTCCACGACGAGGTACACTATTTTTCGGCAATCCACGACTTTGACGGTGAAATTCGAGGTTCTCCGGCCAGTGTTGCACTCCGGCGGAGGTATAAAAATTGTCACTCTTCACAAGCTTCATTTTGACATACACGTTGCCAGAAGAACTTCTTTAATTTTTACACACTCAAGTGGAGTGTTGTAGTTGATATTGATAAGGAATGTGATTAGTAAACTAGTGGCTCGTTTACTAATCTGTAATCAGAACGAGGGAAATTGAATTGAAGATTAATTGAATTAAGGAGGAATTGAATTGATAAGGAGTTAGAATGAGGTGGAGTCAGAATCATATTCCTGTTTAAGTTGTTTACTAAAACTTAGTAGAATCAGAGTATGATTGATATTGATTCATATAAGATGTTTACTAATTCAATTGATCGGAATATAAACTTACGTGATTAATAAAATGCCCTTATTCTAAGTAAATAATTTTTATGCCAATAATTCTTTTCTTTGTGTTTTTATTAAAACTCTAATTCTTTTGTGTTGTTTAAAACTTTGTGAAAAAAGCTTTAAAACACGCCATTAATTATCTTTCAGTTTTAATTTTGAATTAAGTACCTAAAACTTCCCAACCTTTGTGTGTCATTTCAAATTGATTTCAATATTTTTAAACATTCCAAACAAGTACCCAACCTATTGAAAATGTCACATTTGTTAAACCTTACTTAATGTTAACATAGATTATATTCAAAACCCACCAATTGAGTATACCATGGTCAACATTAATATTAGTTGGCTCAAAATTTGAATTTCAAACGTAGGTTATATAATATGGAACCCCATGATCAAATAAGTATTGATTGTATTGAAAATGAACTCAAATTGAAATTACATTAGGAGGGCAATCTCCTAACAAAGAAAAGGGTTAAGGATTCAGTTAGGGTTTCAAGGAACTTGTTTCTACTCATGTGATCTTCATTCGCCGATTTCTCAGCTCGTAAAGCTTCCAGTTTTTCTTTGTGGGAGGTAAGGATGATGGTGGCCACATCATGATAGTCCATAGCATTTCAACAACCTCCATGATCTTCTCGATGTTGGTGACTTGAGTTGTAGGTGGAGTTGGTGGTTTTGTGTTAGGTTTGGAGGTGATGGCATGATAGGGTGATGGTGACTGTTAGTTGGTGGAGGTTATGCTTTCATGACTTTCTATAATTTGAAGACAAAGTAAGCTCTAGCTAATTTAACAGATTTTTAACTGGAACTTAACGGATATGACATTTTCAATAAGTTGAATACTTGTTTGGAATGTTTAAAAAGACTCGGGACAAATTCAAAAAATTGGTGGGTTTTAGGTACTTCATCCTTTTTTTTCTTGGAATTATCTTTTAGTTATAAACCTAGCAAAAACAACAAAAACCTAACATCAGCCTCCCTAACCTAGCCATGCAGTCACTTTTCATCGATTTAGATTTGAGCGTTCATTGTTCCAGATCATATGATGGGGGCGGTCTTTGCTGTGAGAGACACAAATACAAAGGGGAGGGATTGCTCAAGGTGTTTTTTGTTTAGAAACTTTGATTCCTAATGGAGCCTTCTACCCAGAGTCCAAATATCACGTCTTTATAGGTAATCCAATTCTGGCGAATTTAGGAATTGGACTCTGGATATTGGGTGGACCCCACCTAATTTCTGATTCCCCTAAGTGCTAGTAAACATACCTTATGACAGAAAGCCCCCTCTCTCTAAATTTTTCCTTTCAACATTTTTAAACTATAAGAGTCTAGTTTCTTTCTAAATCATCCTGGATGCTCATTGCTCTAATGCTAAAGCAACTATTTGGGATTCTATGTCATAAGCTAAAGCAGTCCGTTGGTACAAACCGAAACATATATGCAAAATCGTTTTGTTGTTAACACTGAGCGCGAGTTGATAAGGCGAACTCATGTGTGTGTTTCCGCAAGCTGCAAACAATGTCATAATGACGGTAAGAACCAACCAATGTGTCCAAAACTGAGAAGATGGTTCATATCATCCTCAATTCATACTCCAAGCAAGGATTCAACATTAACTAAATATATCAAACGCC